TCAAGCATAATTAAATTATATGTGTGTGTAATTAAATATCAAAGTTTAAATGCACTTGAAACTAGACAATTTTTGTTTAAAGCTGGAAGAAGTGAGATTAGCTAGATTAAGAAAAAAAATAAGCAATGTGTTCTTGACTCTCTAGGAGAGAAGATGATCTCAATCTTTTAATCAAATTAAAAAATTAGGGAATCATAATCATATCAAAAAAATTTCTCCCTCAAGTCTCCTTAGCTCTATTGAGTATATTACCCATGAAGCCATCTCTCACTTTCTTACTATCTTTAATGGAAAGGTCTCTTTTCCAAATAAGCCATATCAAGCTTCCTATTAGGCCTACTCGATATGTGGAAGATCAAATTGGCATCATCTTTGCTTAATATGATAAAGATATTAAATAGGCTCTCTTTGATATTGACATCAATACAGCCCCGGACCCAAATGGCTTTACATTAAACTTCTTCAAAAATGCTTGGCACATCACTGGCAGTTCCTTAATTGAAACAATATATCAATCATTTTTTTCATACATCTAAACTACCTAATCATGTGAAACATTCTTCCATTACCCTTATTTCTAGAAATTTTGTATTAAAACAGTTTAAATGACTCCAGGACTATCTCTCTTTGATGCAGTTTATACAAGGTCATTGCAAAATTGCTTGTTAATTGGATAAAGCCTTTACTCCCGAGATTTATACATCATGTCTAGTCTACTTTTATTTTTGAAAAGGATACGATAAATATCATCATTGCCAGTGAGATTTTTAGTGATTTCAACTTCACGAGCTATACTAATTTTTTGTGTGCTAAGATTAATCTTAAGAAAGCATTTACAATGTGAATCATCAGTTTCTTTATAATAAACTTATTGATATGTATTTTCCTTTTACATATGCCAATTGAATTATGGTGTGCACTATCAATATCTATTATTATGTGATCATAAATGGTGAGTGGGTTTTTAAATTCCAATAATGGTTATTTGGTAGGTATACTCATTGTCCTCATTCTTTTTTACGTTTAGCATGGATGCTTTCCCTAGAGTCATTAATGTCCTTTGTGCTAACTCTAATTTTAAATGCATTAATAACAAAGACTCTACTATGTCTCACTGTAAATATATAGATGGTTTATTACTTTTTTTTGCAAAAAATGATTGTCCCACTGTCAACTGTCTTAATTCTCTTCTGACTTATTTTAGGAGTGTTATTAAATTTTGCGCAAAATTTAATAAATTTAATATCTACTTCTCAAAATCAATTCACTCTACTATGTAGGAGCAACTGTACAGCCTCATTAGTTTTGCTTGCCTCCCTCTCCTATGGGATTATCTTTGTATACCACTTACCTCATATATGCTTAAACTTGTCAATTGTTTTAAAATCATGGATAAGCATTATTCTTCGCTTTGTAGGTGGAAGTAAAAAATTTATCTTTTGCTAGTAGATTATAATTTGTTAGATCAACTATATATTTGGAATTACCTCTAATTTTGGCTTCGCTCTATCTCTCTCCCTAGTCCCTAGAGGACTACATGGGAAAAAGAATGAGCCTTATTAATATATTCTTTCACTGCAATATGGTTGAAAATAAAATCCACATCATACCTTAGCTAGAAAGTCATCTCCTTGTCCTAAAAGAGCAGTGGCTTATGTATACCTTCTCTAGGCATTCTTAAAGCCTTTTGCAAAGACAAACTAGTTTGTGAGCTTTATAATATCAACTCTACTCTTTGTAATTGATGCTCCAATGTTTATGGTTCCCTTTGGAATAAATCAAACTACAAAACTTTCATATTTTGAAAAGCTTTCTAAAGTTTGCATAAAAATTAGACACCATCTTTCATTTAAAATTCAAAATAATAGCAAACATTTTATTTTCCTTAACCCCTAGCTTCATAAAGAATATTGAATATTTAATTGAAATTTTTTTAAACTATGTGGTGGAATTAATGGTTTGATTGTAATAGCAATGCTAGGGTTGGTGGTTTTATCTTTGATGTGAGTTATTGCTTGCCAACTGTACTAACTATACATACATTCAACGCATTCTTAACAATGATATTTAGCAAACTTCTTGCAATACTTGCAATTGGATGGGTAAGAACTTCTTTAATAAGTACATTTATGCATTCATTCATTCTTCGACTCTAATTGTTCGATAGAAAAAGTTTGTTTAGTTTAAAGGCAATATTATAAACTATGCTATCTTGGTTTGAGGAATTCTTAATGATGGCCTTAAAACCAAGGATTAATTTATAGTCCATCATATTGTGTTTTGCCAAAGTTGCAATAAATCCCATATTCACATTTTCTTTGATCATTTCTTATCTTTAGAGCTGCTTAAAAATGCATTCCATATGGGGGCCTTTTTTCACTTAGGATGATCCTTACCCGGCCCGTGCATGTTCCTTTCTATGTTAATATAACATCCTTTACTAAATCTTAAGAAGATTTTAACTTCTTGAGGTTCACATCACATTTTATTATTTATAACATGAGCAAAATAATAGAATAATAGAAAATTCTGAGATAAAAATATTGATATGAAAGTTTTGGTTGCCAAATTATATTTCTCTATTTGTTTAATTAAAAAGAAGTTGTTGAGCTATTAAGGATGAAAATTAAGACTTGCATTAAACATATATATTTTACATGATAGTTTTATGTTCATTAGTATACATCATGTTAACTATTTTTTGTTGCCTTTCTATGCAACATTTGCTAGAAGTGTGTTTGGGACAATTCCTTCTATTGTTCACTATGATTTTTGTTGTGACTCTCATTGATTTATGTTAGTTTATACATATCTCTAGTTTTTGCAATATTGTAATTCCATGGCATTGATATTTTGAATACTTTTATGAATGGTTACATATGAGGCATCACATTGCCTTACTCTTGATGTCCTTTTAATATGATGGAATTCATAACTATATATATGATGCAAAGTTTCTCCTGCCTAAGTGTATTCATCTTTTTATGTGTTATGTTATATACACCATGCACTATGGAAATCTTGTTCTCATGGCCTTGGTTATTTTAGGTATTTGCTGATATATTTTCTCGATGGTCTTTTCATATCAATACTCTTGAGAATTTCTCGGGCATTTATAGTTTAAGTTAATAAAATAATGGTGCTTTTATGCTTTAAGATAACTCACCTCTTCACGTAGTCTTTTTTCAATTTCTTTTTTCAGACAAGATGCATTCGCCTCACATATCAATACTTAACTTTTATATTGAATGCATGATTATTAGCATCCATGGTTGAAATTTTATTTTTTGGCTATATCATTGGGTCCTTTTTGTACTATACCTAACAATCTAAAGGATTATATGAGAGATGGCATACCTTTAACTCCTTGATATGACAATGATGAGACCAAGTAAAAATATTTTAGGTTCACTAATTCTCATATATTTTGTATATTTGATTGAACTTAGGCCACAATATTGTGTACTCTTAATAAACAGTGTCAAAAGATGATGAATATATTGGCAGCAAGTGAATCATGCAATTTATGGATGTTATGAGAATTTGATTTTTCTATCGTAAAAGGTTAAGAGCTTGTGACACAAATAACGACTTCATATGATTAACAAAATTCTTGTTTGAGAACACTTGTGGATGATATTATGTCAAATATGAAGAGATGTTGTGTAAGTCGGAGATTATTCAAGCTTATAAGACTATTGTATTTAATAATATTATGTCAAATATGAAGAGATGTTGTGTAAGTCGGAGATTATTCAAGCTTATAAGACTATTGTATTTAATATAATGCTAGTTAGCTGAAAATGTATTTGTTAATAAATAACTAGTAGTCGGGCCTCTAATGCAAACATATGCATAGATCATTGGTATAGAAAGGGGGATCATAGGAAGAGAATAAGATAATCAAAATCCGCCAAAAAATAGAGAAATGCAAAAAATAATAGGAAAGATCAAACTTGTTGAGTATTCGATAATCAAGTGTCTTAAAAAAGCCAAGTCTATAACCCTTTATATGGGCTAAGGACAAGTAATACACGACTAAACTACTATAATAGTTGTAAGTAGGAATATTACGTATTCTTATTATTTATTATGGGAGAATTTTAAGACATGCTTAAATTTAAATGAACAAGTATTTAAGGGGTTGTTTGGTTGGTTGAAAAATTAATGCAATATAAAAGAAACGCAGTATAAAAAAATGTGGTGTAAAAGGAATACTTTGGAGTTGTTTGGATGAGTGTAAAAGAAATGCATGACTTTACTTTTTTTGTTTGGTTTGAAGTTAAGTGAATACAATATAAAGTGTAAAAATGTTGTGCTCGGGTTGGCGGGCAGAGATTGTCGATGACGAAGGGCGACGGTGGTGGCGGCAGCGACGACAAAGTGCGACCGTGGTTATGATGCGCGCATGCACACACACACACACTTCGATGGTCCAATATTCCGACTTGATCCTCATTAATCCTATAACGTTTTTTAAACAGCTTAGCAACTTAATGATATCAAAATTTAGCGATGTTGAGTTTGGTGGATCTATCTCATTGCAACATTTTTTTTTCAACTACATGCATACTAGATTCCCATGTTATTTGACCTCTCAAATGATTTTATGAAGTTTCAAATTATACATATGCGTGCATGATTTATATTTAATTTGACTTGCATAAGCATATTCGTGATATAATTGAGTTCGTCTAATCATGACGTCATTTCAACCATAAAATTAATTGAAGAATAAAATTTAGAGATCAGGCCTGACGGTCGATGGAAGGCCTTTCTCCCGATCTCACAAAAACTCGAATCCCCATATCTGCCAAAAATAATAATAACAAAAAAAATAAAATTTAAATGATTATAATCATACAAATTTTTAATTTTTTAAAAAAATTAATTTATTTGGACAACTATTTTAAGCTATTTTTAAAGACAGCTGCTGCTTGACTGAACCATATCCTTAATATTTTTATTCAAAACTACATAAATATTTTTAGTAGAAACCAGCGGTTTCGAAGTCATAACGAACTTATTTACAAGATTTAATTCCCAAACACTGCAATATTTTTTTGTTTATATCCAGATTTGTTCAGCCAAATGCCCCTTCTCGTCGTCCTCGAGACGCGGCAAAGAACCCTAGACAGGAAGAAGCTCTTCTCCAAGTAAGCGCGCCCTATGTCCCTTCAGCTTTTCTTTCATTTGTTTTCGTTTTCTGCTTCGTCTTTGATTCGATCCGATCGCTTGTAATGGCAATGTCATTCTAAGGCGTGTGTAGGACTGGAGTGGAGCCCGGTGGATAGATCAGGGCAGCTATCAAAGATCCGATTTTTACCAACCATTTCCGTCATATTTGCTTGTCTGTTACTGTTTGTCAACGGAAAGATATAGATGGACGACGACGGGACACTGGGGATTCAAAACTGGGGCGGTTATTACCGGGCTCCGCCTTTGAAAGGAAATCTAGGTCTGCAACTCATGCCCAGTGTTGGAGAACGCGACACCAAGCCTTTCTTCTCCGGCTTAGGCAGTGGGGGCGGCTACATCCAGCGCGAATGTGAAGTCACGGGGCCGTCTGCCATGCCGATGGGCTTTGCAAGGAACATTTGGTATAATAGTAACAGAGATAGTAGCAAAATGCTTAATGTTTTCCATGGAAACCATCAAGAACAATCTCACAGTTATGGGTCACTTTTACCTGAAGCCACTGCGGGTACTGTGTCTGGAACAGCCGTGCATACCTTGCAGATGCTGCAGAACGTAGAAGTACCTCTAAAGGAGGAGAGGGTGCCGGCCATTGAGGAGCCTGCTGCTCCTCAACAAGAGGTGGTATCTTTGAACAAGAGATCAAAGGGTCAGGGGCGCCCTTCCAAGGCCTCAAAGCCTAAAAAGGACAAGAAGGCTACAACCCCCAGGGAAGAGTCGTCCAATCCTTTTGGGAGAGGGAGGTCGGCAAAGAAGACAATGGATATGGTGATAAATGGAATTGATTTAGATTTATCCGGGATGCCCGCACCTGTCTGCACTTGCACTGGACGCCCACAGCAGTGCTATAGGTGGGGTGCTGGTGGGTGGCAGTCAGCTTGCTGCACTACAATCATTTCAATATATCCATTGCCAATGAGCACAAAGAGGAGAGGAGCTCGCATTGCAGGGAGGAAGATGAGCCAGGGTGCCTTCAAGAAGGTGCTGGAGAAGCTTGCTGGGGAAGGTCAAGATTTTAGTAGCCCAATCGACTTGAAACCGTTCTGGGCCAAGCATGGTACTAACAAGTTTGTGACAATCAGGTAAAGATGTAAATTGCTTATCAGCTTTGGTAGGGTTCACCTTCTCCGTGGGAATGTTCTTTTTGCTGTGCATATAAACATGCAGCCTTCTGCTGAAACTGTCGGATTAGGTTGTTGAACTTGATTCTATTTAATTGGTGATATATGTATGCATTTCAAGGTTAGGATTCTGGCTAGCTGGACATTGTTGTGGTTTTATGCCTCTTAATTAATTTATCATAACTTTTCCTATTAATATTTTTCTTTCTTTTACATTGTTCTATCTCTCTTTTAATTGTGACAGGGTTTATGTTGTCTGTTTTTATGTGGTTGTTGTCATTATATATCTGATTTTTGGATTCTTTAATTTGTCTTTGTGCAATATGAAAATTGTCATACAAGTTAATCATAGTGTTAGATATCTTATTTGAACTAGCTGCCTTGACATGGTTTTAGTTGCTTCACTATTATGAGCATGATGGGGCATATATGAAAGTTTATGCAAATGATAAATCTTGCTTTATTGCTTTTCTTAAGAGGCAATGAAAATAGGCCTGTTTGTTTATGATCCTTTTTGTTGATTACTTCATTGTGCATTATGATTGATTTTAGTGACCTTAGCATCCTAAATGGAAATAGACATTTTTGTTTTTATCGGGCGTATTAGTAAAATTGAAGTTAGAGAGGCTTTAAAGAAAATGAAGTGTGGAAAAGTTGTTGGACGTGATAATATTCCAATAGATGTGTGGAAATGGTTAGGAGATGAAAAGATGTTGGATGAGTGGAGAAAGAATGATGATTCATATTTTTAAGAATAAAGGTGATGCATAAGAGTGTGTGGAGGAATTAGGTTAATGTGTCATACTTTAAAACTATGTAAGAGAATTATTGAGCATTGGTTACGATGTGGTACTAATGTTTCTCAAAGTCATTTTAGATTCATGCCAGGTCTACTATGGAAGCTATATATTTATTAAGAGGTTTGATGGAAAAGTATAGAGAGCATAAGGAGGATCTACCTATGATATTTATTGATTTAGATAAAGCTTATGATAAAGTTTCAAGAGAAGTGCTCGGGAGAGTTATAGAAAAGAAAGGGATTAATAGTGCTTATATTTAAGTCATTAAGTATATGTATGCATGAGATGTTGCTTGTGTTCAAACACAAGGTGGTTTGACCATTTTTTTTTTTTCCTATTTTAGTTGGATTACATCAAGGATCAATTTTAAGCCCGTATCTTTTTTCTTTAGTCATTGATGTTCTTACTAAACATTTGCAAGAGGATGTATCCTGATTATGCTTTTTACTGATGATATTCTTCTTGTTGATTAGACTAGAGAGATAGTTGAAAGTAAACTTGAATTTTGAAGGTCAACCTTAGAGTCTAAAGGTTTTCGTTTGAGTAGATCTAAAACCGAATACATGGTTTAGTAGTAATAGATCTAGTGGGGGGATTGTGACTTTTGACGATCAAGTCATTAATAAGAGTACACGTTTTAGCTATCTGAGTCTATTGTTCAAAGTGATGGTGAAATAGATGGGGATATTATTAGTAGAATTCAATTTGGATGGTTGTAGTGGAGGAATGCATCGCGCTTGTTGTGTGATAGAAAAGTACCCCCTCAAACTTAAGAGAAAATTCTTTAAGATGGTGGTGAGACCTACAATGCAGGCACAACATGTTGGCCATTAAAACAGAAGCATAAAATTAAGTTAAGTTTTGCAGAGATGAGGATGCTCAGTTGGATGAGTGGCTTTACTCTTAGAGACAAAATGCGAAATGAGTATATACGTGAAAAGTTGGAGTAGCTCCTGTGGCAGATAAGATTAGAGAGAGTCTCCTTAGATTACGTCGGCCTTCTGATGACCTGGTTAGGAGAGTAGATGTAGCAGATTTTGCTTATGTTAAGAAAGGTAGAGGTATACCTAAAAAGACTAAGTTAGAAAATATTAGAAATTATCTTTTCTAATTAGATTTAAATGAGAATTTGACTCTTAACATGATACAATGGAGAAAAATGATTCATGTGGCCGACCCCACCTAGTGGGATAAAGGCTTGATGTTGTTATTGTTGTTGACATTTCTTCATGAGCTTTATATGTTCATCATGAAATGCAATGTTGTAGAGAGCTCCTGTATTGAGAACTATAGTTGGGGTTGCACACTTTTTTTTTGTTTTTTTTTTTTTTTTTTTTGTTGGGGTTGCACATCTGCCTTTGTTTTCAACCAAAATTTGTGATGGGCTGAGGGGAGGTCTATGATTTGTGTTTCTACATTTTTGTGTTATTAAAATAATCATTATACTTGTTTGCAGATAAAGATCTTGTTAACTCATGATGTAACCACTAAATAATATATCTTTCAATTCTGTGTATAAATGTTATTTACATTGGTTTGAGTAAAAAATTACATATTAAATGATAATACGCATAAATTAAACATAGTACGCACAACGAACGCATAAAATACGCATAATGAACTCGCAACGTACGATTTACGAACGCATAGAGTACGCATAACGCACGCATGATACACGCACACATCAGCAGTAAATTTTATTTATAAAATTCTATTATATATTTTATGAGCCTTTAGACAGGTATGGTTGGGAGGATAAGAGGGTAGGTTGATTTTTTATGAGCCTTTATTACTTACTATTGCTCAACATTCATATTTCTACTATATAATGCGAGACCACTTGAAGAAAAGTTTAACTCATGATGTAACCACTAAAGAATATATCTTTCAATTCTGTGTATAAATGTTATTTACATTGGTTTGAGTAAAAAATTACATATTAAATGATAATACGCATAAATTAAACATAGTACGGCGTACGCACAACGAACGCATAAAATACGCATAATGAACTCGCAACGTACGAGCATGCTGGATGCCAGACAACCTTTAGAGGCTATGTTCACATCTACACAGTGGTTGAGTTGTGCTTGGGCGAAGAAGGCTGAGGGAAAAGAGATTAGAAAGATTGTTTTAAATGACAGATTTTGGCAAAGTGTCTTATATGCCATTACAACCACTAGACCTTTGGTTCATGTTTTAAGGATGGTGGATGCTGAGAAGAAGCCTGCAATGGGTTTCATCTACAATGCTATGGATGAAGCCAAAGAGATGATTGCCTCCAACTTAGGAGGCAGTGAGGGAAGCTTTAGGGAAATTTGGAATATTATTGATGATAGGTGGGAACTACAGCTTCACCGACACTTGCATGCCGCTGGCTACTACCTAAACCCTCAGTATCAATATGCAGAGAACAAGTCTACAAACCCTGAAATAAAGTTGGGATTATATCATTGCATGGATCGTCTAATAAGTGATGCAACTGAAAGATCAAATGCTGACTTGCAATTGGTACCTTTTAGGAACAAAGAAGGTTTTTTTGGATTACAACAAGCAAAAGATACAATTGCCAAACGATCTCCAGTTGAGTGGTGGATTCAATTTGGTGATGGGACTCCAGAATTACAACGTTTTGCTGTGAAAGTTTTGGGCTTGACATGCTCTTCATCTGGCTGTGAAAGAAATTGGAGTACCTACAACCAATTACATACAAAGAGGAGAAATCGTTTGTCGACATTGAGGATGAACTCACTGGTGTACATTATGTATAATAGGAGACTCAGAGATAGAAATTTGAAGAAAAAATGATTAATGGATGATGAAGATCCTTTGCTTTGCGATGATGTGGCATCTGATGATGAGTGGTTTGTAGATGATGAAGTTGAAGTGATGCCGTCTGAATTACAAGATGAAGATTTAAATGCTTATTTCTTTGATGGTCTTAAAGCATCCACATCCACCACAACTCAAGAACAAATCAAAAAAGGTATATAAATAATATAGTTTTCTTTTCTTAAACTTTTATTAATGTATTACACTATTATTCATTATGATATTGTTCAAAAATATTTACTATTTAGGAAAGAGGAAGATAACTAATAATGAGGAAGAAGAAGCTGATTGGGAGATATTGGACTCTATAGGAGAGGGGGAAGAGGAGAGAGCAGCTCATCATAATGATGATTCAAATGAAGACCCCCTTAGTGATGACTGATGAGTGATGATAATGCTAATGACTAGTGAGTTCCTAACTTCTTATGTGATATGTTAATGTCATTGCTATTTATCTTGTGCATTTTTATGTTTTATATATTATTTACTCATTAGTATATACAAAATTTATTATTTTATGTTTACGCAATTTTTTGATTTTGAGGCTTACGCCTCAAATCGCCTTGAGGCTTACGCCTCGCCTCACGAACGAAAAACGCCTCAATACCCGAATACGCAATTTTAAACCTTGTCCTATACATCAAGGCACATTTTAGTGTAACAACAACAACAACAACATCAAGCCTTTATCCCACTACGTGGGGTCGGCTACATGAATCCTTTTTCTCCATTGTGTCCTATTAAAAGCCAAATTCTCGTTTAAATCTAATAAAGAAAGGTCATTCCTAATATTTTCTAACCAAGTCTTTTTAGGTCTACCCCTACCTTTCTTAACACAAGTCAAATCTAATACCTCTACTCTCCTAACTGGGTCGTCGGAAGGCACATTTTAGTGTAATTATTGAAATTTTATTAGAAATAAAATTTCAATGGTAAGCGTGCTTATACTAGAGCACTTCTAGGATGAGTGCCCTCCTAGAAAGTTACATCAATAGGATAAAACTATGAGTCCGTTAGATTAAAGTGGACAGTATCTTTATGATTGTGAATTTGAGCTATTGCAATTGTCACACTAGAAGAATTAATTAGTCAACAACTTTCTCAACTTGATTTGATTTTATGGTGATGAAAATTTTCTAAGTTTGATAAATTCTTCCCAACATTCAATATGTTCTTAAGCACATAAATGCTTGAAGTTGAAAGCTTTTTTTTGGGTCTTTTAAGTCAATTAAGGCAAACTCACACACACATCATATATACAAGCTTCGAATCTAAGACCTCTTGGTTGATAGCCAAAGCTCCCAATCAACAGATCAATGTGGTTGGTGAATTTGTTGCTTTTCTTGGTAATTGGAATGGAAGATACAATAAGAATTTTATGAAAAATGAAAAATGTTAGAAAAAGGTAAGAGTGATGAAAGTTCGCTTTTTTTTTTTTCCTTCAAATTTGTTTTATTTTCATGTAGGGTGTGAAGGTTGTGGTTAGGTTAGCAAGGGCAGAGTATTGAGTTAGAAGAGGCAATATAGGGCATATGTATAGTTATTTTAGTGGTTGGGACTTGGGAGCACTTTGAGGTGTGCATTACTGAAGCAAATAATGCATTTTATCCACTTGTAAGAAGGAGAATTTTGTGCTATGTCCTATTACCTCATAAATTGTTTTTCATTACCTATTATTGGGGAAGCTAAATCAAATTATAAGTCAAAAGTGTTTTTGATGAAGGAAAGGGAAATATAGGTGCTTGAAATCCATTTCTTCAATTTCTATGTAGCTAGGGGTGTTGATACCTTACACAAAACGACAGCTTGCATCAAACATGATAGAAAAAATTGTTTGGTGAGTTGTTTATGATTGCTAGTAAATTTCAATTTGGTTAGGTTAATCTGAAAACCCACTAAATTTCAAGAAGGATTAAAGCAGTGAGGCGAGCATGAGGGAATTAGGATTATGGAATAATTAAATAATCCATTAATTGTTGTTGACATCAATTTTTTAGATCTCTAGGTAGCTAAGGGTGCAATACTTTACAACACGACAATGAACATTAAACATGATAGAAAAGATCAAGTTTTGGTTATTTGTTCATGATCCCTAATGATTTTGGATATGGTTCAGGTTGATCCAAAAAATCACTGATAACCTGATTTCAAACATGACTGAAGTGGTGAGGTGGGCCTCGAGTAAAGCAATAACAAAATTATCTATTAGGGTTTTCACGGAGCATAGAACCATTTTATTCCTTCTAGATTACAATTATTATAAGATCATGACTCTTAATCTTTGGTAAATGTCTTTCACTTTATCTGTGCCTTTGCTTGCATACTAATCCAATAGTATCAACATCTCTAGTATTGTTTGTAACTATCAACATAATGTTGCATGATCTTTAACGGATTATGCCTATCAACCTTTTATATGAATTCATGATCTTTAACGGATTATGCCTATCAACCTATTATGAATTCAAGATGCTATCTTAAGTTCATCTTGATGATGCACTTGATTGGATCTCGACTTTATGGGGCATCTATCTTTGATTGTAGTTGAAGGTGAGATATATCAAACAGTTTCTTGAACTTATCACCATGGAACTTGTGAATTATTTACATCATGGTCAGTGTCTTAGCAATTGTATCATAGTAAATTAAAGCCCACTAATAGACAATCATAGGCTTAGCTTTTTTTTCTTGTGACTTATATGACTTGTCATATGATTCTAATATTGGAGATATTACATTGCAAGTGTCCTTGCAATATTATTTCCTTAGCTTTTGGAGGATCCGATGAATAGAAAAAATCCATCAGCTTGAGCGACCATGTAATGGATGTTCCTCCCTTGCCTTGAACAAATTTATTTGTTTCAATCAATTTTTTTTCCTTTGAATAGAGTTTTGTTGCTTAGGATTTTATGCTTTTGCTTCAACAAGAGATATTAACTTTTTGGTGACTTTTTACTTGTACATTGGCTTGAGATGGTCTTTTAACTCCACTTTAGGAGTGCACTCCGACAGCTTGATCATATTTTGCATGTGCATGTGCTTGCCAAAGAGAGAGAGAGATGTTTGCCACTCTCCCTCTATTAGGATTATAAGTTTGACACTTTGACCTTTGGGTGGTTCTGAAGTTAATGAGCTAGTTACCACCTTTGATGTTACCTTGTTTGGATTTTGAAGGAAACTCTCGGAGGAGCTAGATTTCTCCAAATAGATAGCTATTTTCTACTCAATATTTGAAAATATTGCAATCCTAAGTGTGTGGCCTAGCACTCTAGCAGGTGATGGTACGTGTGGTAATTGAGCTTTTTTGGCCTTTTGGTATCATCCAATCTCTTCTCATTGGATTTGCAATCTCTATTTTAGAAGACCATTGTTTTTTTTTTTTGGATATATTTCCTCTTGAAAGTTTATTATTTATTAAGGTCGTTGCATAACATAGTTTTATTATCACAGCCAACTCGCTAGTTGGCTTCAATGGTGCTTTTGAAGCTATTGACTTCTTTCCTTGTTTGTTCAACCTAAAGGTTGCTTGAAATTCTAACTTCTTTTGGGGCCATTAAATGAGTTTTAGCTTCTGATACATTTCAAATGAGTCTACTTCATTTGGAATTGAAATTAATGTTCGCTTTACTACAACAACAACAACAATATCAAGCCTTTGTTCAAAAAAAAAAAAAAAACTTTGTCCCACTACGTGGGGTCGGCTACATGAATCATTTTTCTCCCATGTTAAAAGTCAAATTCTTATTTAAATCTAATAAAAAAAGATCATTGGAGACACATTTGGATTTTGAGTTTTAGGTGATAAGGTCGTTGATTGTTGTCTTTTGTTGTGCTGGAAAAATTGCTATTTCATCCTGACATTGGCATCCTCATCCAATAATTTTGGAGTGTTGTATACCACTCAAAGAAAATATTGGTGGTCGTTGAAAAATTGCCAGACTAGGATACATTGCCCCCATCTGTGCCTTTTGACAATTGGCACAGAACTAAACGAGATATTGCTTTGGGTGGTTTATCCTATTAAAGAGTTTGGACTGAAAGAAAACAAAATCATGTGGATATTTAACTAGTTCATATTCTTCAGGGTAGGGTAATCTCCTCTGACATGCTTTTGCTTCTTTGGTTGGTGGTATTGTTGTTTCGATTGTTTGATCAACCAAGGTGTTGAGTTGGTTCTCAACTACTATCTTTGTTATTACTTCTTTGATGTACGAGGTTGTTTGTAGGACTCAAAGTGGCTTTGCCTGTTAAGCTGATTTGGCAGGCAACATCTCCACATTATTATTTAGCAGCTCATTGAAGAAGATTTCTTTTACCTCTGGTGCTGCAAGGCGAGTGACAATTATTTATCACTGTCTTATATTTATTTGCGACTCCTTGGACAAGCGGCCACCCAGGTGGCCATGACATTCATCACCCTTATCATTTCTTCCAACTTTTTGGTCCAAGTGAGCAATATGGACATCTGTACTTATAATTTACTGGGTAAGCTCACTAACTATTTGAAGTCTTGCTAACGGACCAATTCTCCTTCATCTTTTGATCACTCTCGTTGTTGCAAAAATTTGAGAGAGCTATCCGCATATCCTCTTCTTAAGATTTGTCTTTGGAGGCTTTGCTTTTGTAAATGGATGCAATTATGTCAAGCCTTCTTTCATTACTGTGCTTTGAATAATACCCCTCCTTAAGTCATTATGATAGTTTTTTTTTTTTTAAGTTCTCATCTTGCTTTTGCTTGTCTCAAGAATTTTTTTCTTCTCTGGGTCCCTCCAGCTTGATTTTGATTTTTTAGAAGTTGGCGATGTTTTTTGTTCATTGTTTATTTTCAAAATTCTTTAATTTTTTTAATTTCACGCCGTTATAGTTCTTCGACTAGGTCATTATTCTCATCTAACTTTAAGGCTACCGATGCCCACGAGCATTTTTCCCTGGTCTCATGTTGATGATATCTTCACTTCGAGTGTTCACCATTAGGT